GAAGGGTTGCGACCTGTGGCATTTGCTAGCCGTAAGTTATGCCAATCAGAGAAAAACTACCCTATCCACCAACTTGAATTTCTGGCCTTGAAGTGGGCCGTAGTGGATAAGTTCCACGATTATCTCTACGGTGCCAAATTCACAGTGAGAACCGACAACAATCCGCTCACCTATGTTCTCACCACGGCCAAGTTGAGCGCTACAGGCCATAGGTGGTTGGCTAGCTTAACTACCTACGACTTTGACATGAAGTACAAGCCTGGCAGAGAAAATGTGGATGCCGACTGGTTGTCCAGGAATGCCATGGAAGAGGACGACGGATGGAGACACATTCCCCAATCAGGTGTTAAAGCTCTCTGTCGCCCCTTTAGTGTCACTCAATCATCTAAGCTACCTGACCGTCTCATAGACCAGTTGGGAGTTCCTCCAACTGTCATCCCCCCTGCTTATGCTTTATCCATGCCGCTCGTGGTGAGTCCTTTGGAACAGCTAAGCAAGGAGGAGCTGCGCAAAGCGCAAGACAGGGACCCCGACATCGGTGTTGCCAAACAAGCTGTACAAAGTGGAGTCTGGCCTCTGACCTCCCAAAGCCACTCTCCAGATGTTGCTTTGCTGCAACGAGAAAGCAGCAGGCTTCTGATAAAGTCAGGCATGTCATACAGGAAAACCGCCAGACCAGTGGGCGGCCAGACTTTCCAACTAGTCCTCCCGAGTGACCATCGTATGAAAGTGCTTAAGTCTGTTCACGATGATTCTGGCCATCTAGGAGTTGACCGCATCACTGACCTGGTGAAAGACCGATTTTATTGGCCAAAGATGGCCTCTGACATTTCCCAGTACATCAAGAACTGTGGCCGGTGTGTTGCTCGTAAAACGCTTCCTCACAGGGCCGCACTTTTGAAACAGATAACCAGCAGTGGGCCCCTCGACTTGGTGTGTATAGACTTTCTGTCTATAGAGCCTGATTCAAAGGGTATGACCAACGTTCTTGTGGTAACAGACCACTTTACCCGATATGCACAGGCTTATGTGACCAAAGACCAAAAGCAACCACCGTCGCCAAGGTGCTGGTTGAGAAATTTTTTGTGCATTATGGTCTGCCATCCAGAATTCATTCTGACCAAGGGCGTGACTTCGAGAGTCGTCTCATCAAAGAGCTCTTGGGAATGTTGGGCATAAAAAAATCCCGAACGAGTCCATATCATCCCCAAGGTGACCCGCAGCCAGAGCGTTTTAACCGAACGCTCTTGTCTATGCTCGGTACTCTTCAACCAAGGCAGAAACAGAAATGGAGCCAATATGTCAATTCGCTCGTCCACGCCTACAACTGTACCCATAACGATGCGACAGGCTACTCTCCATACTACTTAATGTTTGGGCGTGAAGCTCATCTGCCCATTGATCTGTGTTTTGGAACTTCTCCCGATGGAGACGACTGTAGTGACTACTTACAGTATGTTGACAAACTGAAAAGTGACCTGAAAAGGGCATACGAGTTAGCAGTGACAGTTGCTAATAAGTTACATGACAAATACAAGAGGTACTATGACAACAGAGTGAGAGACCAAGTGTTGGAGAAAGGAGATCGTGTGCTCGTAAGAGCTCTGGGCTTGCCTGGAAAGCACAAGCTTGGCGACAAATGGCATTCTGACCCTTATGTTGTTGTCGAAAAAATGCCAGACTTACCCGTGTACAGAGTAAAACCTGAAAAGGGAAGAGGCATGGTCAAGACTCTGCATCGGGACCACCTTTTACCCATAGGGTATCTGGTCAGGTTTCCCTCAGATTTGGAGGTAAAGCAGCTACCACAGAGGCCTGTGACACGATTACATCAAAAGGGAAAGTCAATTGAAAATCCAGACCAGGAAGAACACTCGGAAGACGAAGATGAAAACTGGAACCTACCTGCTGACCGGAGGGAGGACATCTTACTGGCCCTTGATCTGCTGGCGGATCACTTGAGTGGAGATGTTCCCCTGGAAACTGCACTAACTCCGCATAACATTGTTGAAGAGGACATTGATGTGGATACTGAGGAGCGTGTGGGTGCAATCCCAGAAGGACAAGACGCAGAGCAAATTCAGCAACTGCCAAAAGACACTGTGGTGTACACAGGTCTAGAAGAGGGAGAGCTCCCCTCTACTAGTCAGTCCCAAAGTAGTGCAGAGCCTGTTTGTAACCGTCCGGCCCGAAGACAAGTGAAGCCAGTCGTGCGGTTAAGCTATGATAGACCTGGCCATTCCACCAATAAACCTATTGTAGTTGTACATAGAGGATTGAGAATCACTATCAAAAGAGACTCCCCATTGCTTTGTCAAAGTTGGGATAATGTATGATGACACAAACACATATATATGACCCTAGTCTGTAGCATACATGCCAGACCTTGATATTGACTATATCGGATGTGACAGATGTAAACTTGTGTGATGAGGACATCAACACCCTTTGGAAAGGGGAGATTGTAGCCCTGTGGCTATTATTTTCATTCATTCATATACAGATATTAAAATGTTTGTGTTGCTAATAAATAATAGTTCATGAAGTGTAAATATGTTTAAAAAGTCATTTCATATACAGTTAAAAGTCAGAGATAAAAGGGTGGTGTTAGTTTTAAAATCCATATGATTGTCGGCACAAAAGATAGGAGACCACGTTTGTTTGTGGGGTAGTGAAGCATCTCTTTAATCTCTCATCTTTGAATGTATGTAGCCTTAGCCAATCCTGTCCTCACCTTGTTCAGGTAGGAGGTGCTTAGCATCACCGACGTGCCGCAGCACATTAGCGACAGCAGAGGCTACGTTATCGGGATCCGAGCTGGATAGCTGTAGACTGTAAAGTAAATAAAATACTACTAACTCCCTAGACGGATGGAGAGTCGTCCCCTGGTTTATGTGTGAGAACTCTGAGAAGCTGCCAGAGGTAAATTCATGTGTTTTAATGTACTTTGTGCTGTTGTGTAATTTGTAATGTGTTAAAGACGAGCTGAATTGCTAATCGCTGCTAGCCTTTAGCTTAGCCTGCTCATAGACTTGCCTATGGTCAATTCTGCATTGCAGTTAGCAATTGCTAATTCGTTGAAGACCTACTGTTGGTTTTTCGCCATGAGTAAGCCTGTAACTTAGTTACTAAGAAGAATTATGTGATTCAGGACCGGACATTTGCCATAAGAGGGAGAGAGTGAGGACCGGAAGAGCCCTGGACCTTTGGAAGGAGACTTAGCTGCTGTACTTGAACGTGGCTCACCGCACTTTTTGCCTGCACGCTCCATTTCTTGCCGCTGAAACTGCACCTTGCCTTTTGCCCCTTTTCCATCTTAGTCTCTGACTGTTGCTGGACTCGTGAGACACCATTAACACTGTACACGTGTTTTTTTTTGTTTATGCTGGTTAAAACACAGTGAAACGGCCATTTGTTTTCGGTTCCGCCTCGACGCTCACAACTTCGACCAGGCTGCAACGTTTTGTTACATTTAATAGCCCTGCGTGAATGTGTTGTGCGAGTGTGGCTGTGGACATTTGAGTTTACTTGTTTATTTTGATTTCACATTTTCTCATTGGGTTCATCATTTGTGTGTCAAACCTTCCAGACCAAATGAGAGTTTTGATACTTTATCAATCAAGGCCTATGGTGGGCGATATGACGATATTTAGATCGTGAAGGATACAACGTGAAGACGATCTTTCAAACTGCAGAGATCGTGGACGTCTTAGGGCACATTCTATAAATTGCAGTTCTATGCTGATGCACCGACGCACCAGACGTATTGACGTCGTCAACCTGACGACCAATCATTAGCGAATTACGGGCAGTGACGCACTTTCCTACCCACTCTTGTTTGTGTGTGTAGCGGTAGCACATGGAGAGCGATGGCTGAAAGCCAAACGGAGTTGGTCGCTAAAAAAAATTCCACCTCCATTATATGGAATTGGTTTGGATTTTCCGCAACTGATCAAGCGCAAGCAAATGTAATTTGCAAAGTTTGCACAGAAACCGTTCGCACTTCGGGTGGTAACACGACGAACCAGAATGTTGTTGTTGTTTACCTTAAACTTTACGTTGTTTGCACATGCAGGCAAAACTGCTACTATTTGAAATAAAATCTGTTAAGAAAGGTTCTTTGGTCTAAATTGTCTGTTTTTCTTTTTCCAATTTAAGATCGTGATAAAATCGAAATCGTGATTTTATTTTTAAAAAATCGTGATATGATATTTTTGCCATATCGCCCACCCCTACATAGGCCTACTTAAAAGTCAACAGTGAACTATTTGACTAATTTGGAAATCCAATTCGTAACTTTGCAATAAATAATTATTGTTGTTTCAGCTAAATCCTGTGTTGTACTTACAAGGGTGATACTTTTTGGATAAATATTAAATAGGTTAAAGGGAACTTTATTTTAAAGGGGAAGTACCAAATTTTGTGTTACTACTTAAATGCTATTGGAGGCACTGCCAAGTTATTTTATATCACGTTTATCACAGGTAGCGCCATCTCCAGACGAACTCAGGCCCCGTCCCACTGTACTACAACACCCCAATTATTTGTCAGTCAATATATCCTAGCTACATGGGACTAGGGTTACACTAGCGGCTGTCAATCTGCAAATGTACACTAAGTATGAAAGTTCATTATTGATCCTGGAAGTAGTACTTTGGGTAAATGTTGTAGCTCTGATAAACAACAGTTGATTAACACCAAGACTGGTGGTTCTACTGGTGGTTTGATTTAATTTGCTACTTTTTAAATATATTTTTCCGCTGCTTTGAATCTCATGGTCATCGGTGATTGTTGCACAGTGGACATGGCGGTGGATCTGCTGGTTGGCAGTCAATGGGCCAAAACATGCTAAATGACCAGTTTTGGCCCTAACAGATAAAATCTATCAATAAAAACAGTTGTAGCATCAGGACCATATGTAGAAAAACAAATAAATAAAAATACAATAGATATGTTGGTAGCTGCTGCTGCCCTGATCACAGCTCTGTCTCTCTCTGCAGTCCCAGGAGTTGGCCCCACACTGTGAGCACTGTGACATGGAATGGATAAAGAAAGCTGGGGATGAACAGTGAGTCTTATTTCAAAGAGGAGAATATTTTGACTGCATTCTATAGTACTTGTCAGTGTGTCATTTACATGCATTTATTTATGTAGTCACTCTCTTTGTGTGTTCCAGGGTGAACTTAGCCTTAGCCTACACTGAGCTAACAGAGGAGTTGGGTCGGGTTCGCAGTCTGGCTGCAAAACAGAGTGACCTTCTACGACACATCTCACAGGAGCCTGGTAGGTTAGGTCTGTTTGTGTGTAAGGGTCAGGTAACAATTAGGTTAAGGTAATGGAAATAGATGCCTAACCCTAGTTAGGCATTTATTTCTGATGGTTAAGGTTAGGGTAAGGGGCTAGGGGCCCCTGCCCCTTACCCTAACCTTAGCCTAACTTGTCAATCCACTGTCCTCACAGGGGTAGTGGTAACAAGTCTGTGTGTTGAGTTGAGTGGAGGGTGGGGGTGATTTTACAGCACATATCCACTTATTAAACTTAGTGTATCACCATAGATTTTCATAAGGTTGACAACACACAACAGACAAACTCATATTGTTACATTTAAGGTGCCAATGGGGGAGTACATTAGTGCATCAAATAAATGAAAACTGAACAAGAAATGTCAAATATGTTTTATTGTTGGTGTTACAGTTTAATAATTAACAAATGTTAACATGTGGCAATTAATAAACAACTGGAAGGAGTTCGGAATAATATAATATTTATTGCTGTGATTAGTTTCACCACAACACTCAACTATTGCAACCAAGTCAGTTTACTGCACCTACAAAACCCCTGGATATACAATAGTTGGTGTGCACACATCAAACACTTGACTGTAACAGCATCTCAGTGATGCTGGAACAACATGTTACACTACAACAGAGAGCAGCAACAACACTTAAATCAAGGATGGTGGAAGAAGACAATGTCTGAAAGTGAATGAGAGAGATGGTTATGGCATTTAATTAGTCTCAAAAGACATATACATAAAACATGCATGTGCCAGCACACAGAGCCGCAAGAGCACTCTGTGTGAGCACTCTGTGAGAGAGCATTTCTGTTTTTTAAAGTTATTTTTGTGCGGTTTGTATGTCTTTATTTGAGAGAGAGAGTAGTACAGGGCCTGGCCAGCTAGGAGTGGACCTGGGGACCTACTGCTTGCTCACATTGGCTTTTGAGACTTTGGAGGACTGGACAATGGCTGATGTCTCCGCTGCTTTGATTGGTCACTTTCAACACCAGATGCCACATTGGCCACATTGGCCGCTTGATCGCAAGTCAATGTAGTCAACGGAGCTGCTTTTTTTTTTTTGGATAAAAAGCAATTTCTCAAGCAATTTTAATGGCTTGAGAAGGAGTAGGATAAAAGTGTTTTTTATTTTTATTCCTTTTTCCTAGTCCAGGACTGGACTACTATATAATATGAATGTAGTAAATATAAATAGATAATATAAACTGAATACTATTTAATATTATTATTCTATAATTATTGTTAAATTACTACACCTTATTTTGTCTACATGGGTATTAATATAATACTGTTGTACTATACTGTATATTGTTGTACTCCTACTACAGCTCATGTTATACTATATTACACTTCTATTCCTTACAATGTGCCATATTTTTACCATATCATGTATACTGCTGTTACATCTGAATTTCCACTCTAGGGATCAATAAAGGCGTATATTAAATCTTATTGTCTGTTTTGTAGTATATCTCTACCTTTCACTGCTATACAAATATAGAAAGCAGACTGACTCACTATTTGATTTGTAAGTGCAGATTTAGTTCCATTTTTCTCAATGATAGTCAGTTATTAGTACTTAATTATACACTATGTTCTGACCGGGAGTACAAGAAAAGCTAAAATGATGGGGACATAGAAAGAAAAAAACATTGAGCAATCACTAATTGGCATGTTTTTTTGTCAATCCCAGGCAGCCTCTAACAAAGTGTCCAGGTTACAAGGGCTCTTCCATTGAGCTTCTTTAACACCGTCCCTCCTAGCTTTCCTTCTGAGCGGTGGCAGTGGTGTAGTACTGAGGTTCATCCTAAATCCACTTACCATCCTCTCTCTTTCTCTCTACCCCTCCAGTTTCTCGTCCTACCCCAGCTCCTCATCGTCTCTCCACCACCTCCCCCCAATCCTCCTCATTCTCCCCTGATAAGTTTCTTCCCACCCCCTCTCCTTCTCTGTCCCTATGCGACGGCTCCAACTGTCATCAACCAACCAGCAGCCGTCTACGAGCAAAGTTTCAGGGTCGCCGTAGTTACTCTGAGGTGAGGCTACAACTTCATTTGGTGAAACTTCATGGGCCAATGGGATTGGACCTATTTGTGTAATTTTACAGTGAAACAGATTACTGCATAGAGGAGTCATTTGACCTGTTCAATGACCTTTGACTCCTCCTTCTTTTCCCAGGTGTCTGACCCATCAGCCATCCAGAGGCCCCCAACACGCCTGATGAGGGACCCAGTAGCCACCCTCCCCAAGCCAAGGTCAATTCTGGGCGAGACACAGATTTATGGCCAAACCAAACCTCAGCTCCGTACCTCCTTGGTGGGCCTGGTCAGACCGGCCTCAGCTCATGGAGCTGGAGCGGAGAGAGGGGGAGGAGAGAGGGGTACTGGCAGTAGTCTGAGCAGCAACCCTCATCTCTGTGCTCTGGACCTGGGCTTTCCTATGGCTGCTGAGGTGACACACAGAGCTTTTTTTTGGTTTCATTAAGTCAGTGACCTCCTCACTGTTAACAACCTATATGCCTGCATTGTTACCACCATTTTTACTACTTCTATATAATTGTGGAAAATTACTTCAATTAACTGGTAAGTTATGACAGTAAATTACGTGATTACATACCAATTACTTCACACTGGTATTAAACTACTAAGAAAACACATCCCCAAAAGATGAAGGATGATATAGTCTCTGAGAAAGAATAGGGAGCCCCAGTGCTGCTCATCACTGTCCCTGAGACACAGTTACCCGGCCAGACGTGCTGTGGTCTTGTCAGGTAATCCACAATCCAGGACATGAAGCAGGTATCCACCCCCATCCCTTCCAGCTTGTCTTTAAAATGGGTGGTTGAATAATAAATTCACTTGATAAATCAAAGAACATAATCTTCATGTAACTACCTGGCTCATCCAAGTAAAAATGGGCCCGGTGGAGCATGTAAAGGATGGCATCATCCACTCCAATATGCTCTTTGTAGGCGAACTGTAGGGAGTCTAGTGCATGTTCAACCTGTGGCCTCAGAAGGTGGAGAAGCAGCCGCTCCAGGGTCTTCATGATGTGAGGGCCACCAGTCTGTAGTCATTTATCTCAGCCAGTCACCCTTCTTGAGGTACTGGAACAAGACATGATGTTTTCCACAGGACCAGGACCCTCCCTGACTGCTGAAGAACCATGAGGTTGACATGGTGGTTGAGAGTGATAAATGTAGACAACAATTGAATTAATTGCCATGAGATTTGGTACTAGGGTTGCCTACACCACAACCCAGCTGCCTACTGTAGGCACACCACAACCACGTGTCATTAAGGCTTAATCCACTGCGGTTTGGATTAAGCTTTAATGACATGCGCTCTAACAGATAAACCATCAGAACGCCGAACTACTGTCTTCTGCATTTCATTTTTTCACAGCACACAGAGCTTGTCAGTCTATTGCTAATTGAGAAACTTCTCCAATCCACTTGTAGGCTACAGCTGGTTTGGTTTTACTTGACATTACATTATTCACAGCACTTTGAGGACAAAGTGTCCTGTATTGATTCAATACAGGACGCAGTATTTTTTTTTTAAAATACAGGATGATCCCGTATTGTACGGGACAGGTGGCAACCCTATTTGGTACAGATATTCAGGCTGACCTTTAACACTTCCTGCAAGGGCATCATCAGAACAAAAATTTAATTTATCCAGTATTTTGGTTTATGACATATACCAGCAGTAAAGACATTCCCATCAACCTCTGCTGTACTTTGTGTTTGTAGCTAATTAGCTAAATGCCTGTGTGATATTTAGTAATTGGTACATGGAAGGAAGTAGTATCTACTAAAGAACATCAGTGAGTTAGAAAAGTTAAATGTTATGAAGGAAGAAAATGTTTTTTCTTTTCTTATGTCAGCATAAAAATCCTAGTTAATAAGTATAGCTGCTAGAGGCAATTATCAGGGTCCAAGTAGCTTGAAAGTATTTAAATGCCATATGCTATTGAGTTTTTGCTGAGGCAGTCTGAAGCAGGACTTAAGCCATCTGGGGTTTTGAACCTATTAATTAGTTAAGCATGTTAATTAGTTAAGCGTGTTAGAATTAGTTAACATTCTAACACGCTTAACTAAGATGGTGAAAATGGTAACCATTATACCTATCCAGCAGTTAGTATTGTCATTGTGGGCATGTTAGCATGCTGAGGTTAGCATTTATCTCAAAGCACAGTGCACACTGTGCCTTACAGTGCTGCTTGCATGGCTGTAGACTCGCACCATGTCTACACAGGAGGCTTGTGGTGTGCTCTGCATGTTAGCAGAACAGAAGCAGCAGCTCTGGTGCTCCATTTGTGTCTATGTAGATTGTGTTTAGGCAGAAGTAATGGCATTACACAATCACTAGAGTTACAGTCATAATACAGATAAAAATATACTTGTTTGTACAAATATACTTAGTCGTTTTAACATACGTATAGTGGAAGCAAAATGTTATCCATTAATTATCCTGTGTATACAGCTGGATTGATTGAAATACAAGTATGTCTGTTCTGTCCAACACGGATGAGACAGATAACTGAAAAACTAACTAACCCTCCTTTGTAGACACTTTGTAGACTTGTTGTGAGCTAAGGCCTAATTATGCAGCATGTCACCGCCTATATGTCAAACTTGCTAAAAAGTAGATTTTCTTTTCTTTGTGGGGCTGTAGGAGAAAGTATTGGGCAAACATAATTCTATAATCCTATAAACTTGAAAATTTCTAGAAGTAATCATGCTGCTCTTCCCTGTATCTCGTCTCATCCAGGTGCATCACTTCTGTCACCTTGACATTCCACCTGAGCCCACCCCACTGGTGACACCACCACAGTCCTCGGATGATGAAGAGGTGATGACATATTGTTTGTGGCTCTTCTCCGAGCTTTATACCTGGGTTATTTATTTTGAAAATGTGTGTTTTGTGTACATTTACAGGATGTATGTACATATCTATCGCCGGTTGCCAGCCCACCTCGGACTCTGGGCGCAATTGGGATTGGCTCATCACCTAGAGAACAGCCCCTCCACCCCTTGTTCCAATCTCCAAGGAAACAGCCCCGCCATCCCTCCTTCTCGGCACCCGAGGGCCCTGCCACTCTCTCCTGCCATCTGCCTCCCTACATGAACACAGAGCATGCTCAGTCATGGCCCTCCATTAACGTGAGTAGAAAACAAGGAGGATTACATAAAAAGATTCCCTCCTGTTCTTGTGGGGAAACAAGCTCCTACAGCAGCCAAAAGAGGATGAATAAGTAAACACAACAAAAATAACAATACACACCAGACCACCAAATGCCATTCCACTGTACGCAGAAATGCGTAAGAAAGTCCAAAAAGCATCAACACTAATTGTGTATCTTGTCTATTTAATTGATATATGAACTGATGGGATTTAGCTATTCCTTTCAGGGTTTTAGGTATTAGGTATTTAGGATTTAGGCATTGTGCTAAATGCCTAAATCCTAATACCTACCATTGTTATAGTGTCTTGGGATATTCTGCCTCTAGGGCATGCTACAAATGCAAAAAGTTTATATCTCAGAACGAGCTGCATGAATTCGTATGGAATACAGTTCTTATGTTCTATGGTCATTACGTAGTCTATGAATAAAGTTTGGTCATGATTGATAAAAGTATGCGTGACTCATTATAAAAAATATGAATTTGTAATCATTCCACCCTCTTTGGAGGGTGGAATGATTCTAAAAATCACATAAATCACCCATATGTCCAACGGAGCTGAGATTTTTTCTGCACATCCACTGAATCATGATGAAAGTTTGCTTCTCCTATGACCTATGGTCAATTCAAAAATCCATCACTTTTTAAAAATATGTAAAATCAATCAACATTTATATCTCCACAAGTCTTCATTCAAATGCTACCAAAATTGGAAGATATCAAGTGTTTCAAACGGTGTTTGGATCGGAAAACTTGCTATAATATATAATCTTGCTATAATTTTTACTGTATGCACAACATTTCCTTTATTGCTAAGTGCTGGATTCAAAGACACCAAAACATTCACACCAACATTTTGATCATTTTGAGGGTTTTTGAGTGAAACAGACAAAAAATCCCAGTCTTGCACATGTGATTTCATTGCCTCAACTTGTGTGAAGGTGTTTGCACCACATGGTTACCCAGTGGTGCAACCAGTAAGTCACCTTCTCTGGGGACACCAAGGTCAGATGTTCAAAACCCCAGATGGCTTAAGTCCTGCTTCAGACTGCCTCAGCAAAAACTCAATAGCAATTAATACATATGGTATTTAAATGCTTTCAAGCTACTTGGACCCTGATAATTGCTTCTAGCAGCTATACTTATTAACTAGGATTTTTATGCTGACATAAGAAAAGAAAAAACATTTTCTTCCTTCATAACATTTAACTTTTCTAACTCACTGATGTTCTTTAGTAGATACTACTTCCTTCCATGTACCAATTACTAAATATCACACAGGCACTTAGCTCTTTCCAATAATGTCCTGCAATGTCTGAATAAAGCTGCAAGTAACACTAATGTAAAAGTCATCTATGTAAGGTATTCCATGTCTGAGAGGGGCTTTTGATTAGATTGTGGGACTTTTCTCTAATGTGAGGATCAGTGATTTCACACCTGTGTTTTCCTCTGTCTGCAGTTATGGATGGAGTCAGAGGAGAGTGTTGCTCGCAGCTGTCCTTTGTGTCAGCTGACTTTCCCAACTGGTTATCCTGATGACGCCCTCATTAAACACATCGACTCCCACCTGGAAAACAGCAAGATCTGACTTTTTTTTTTTTTTTTTTTTAAATCAAGCATTTCACACCCATTTTCAGTGGAACTGGCTGCCCGACCCATCTTGATTGATTTCTGTTTAGTTTTAATCTAGAAATGGTTTAATGAGCCGGCATGCTATGGAACTCACCCAGCCTTCCAGTTACAGAGAAAGTCTGTTTTCCTACCTTCCAGGCTCAAGTGTTATTACATACATTTAATTTCCAAGTTGTAAATATTTTCATCTTTGTTCACTAAGGGCATGCATTGCCTAATATCTCTCACAAAGCACCATAGAAACAATTCTGTATCAAGCTGTGTTTTTTCTCCTTAACCAAACTCTTCATTTGTACATAGACCTGAGTGCTGAAGAAAAAAAGACAAAAAAAAGACAAAAAAGTGCTGTGTATTTCGGATTCACTGACACATAGAGGAGCTGCTAAAGCTCATGTATGCTGGTCTGAGAGCAGCCTGACACAGGCAATGTCAAAAGCACCTGTTGTTGTTTTCATGTCCCATGAAAGCACCTGGATGGCACTGCTCTAATGTTATTTTGGAGGATGAAAATGAAAGAAGATTTTCTGAAGATTTCTGGACCTGCAATGAAGTCTGAACAATTCTGAGGTAAAGTTTTAGTAGAAGTAATTTTAGTAAATAACAATCACCTGTGGAAGTCTGATTTCCAATTTCCAAGTATATGACACAAGCTAAAGAATAAGCCATGGTTAAAAGGCCAACTTAAAGAATACAGCAAATAAATAAGGACACTGATGACAGTAAATGGGGCTAATCTATTGGCTGGTGGAGTTCCAAAACAAATTAGATGCAAAGTATGAAATGCTCCAAAGATAAAAATGTGGTCAAATAAAAAAAAAAAAAGGAACTACTGAATAAACAGCACATACTGCCATCTTCTGGTGTAGTAATGAAAGTGCCTTGCTTAAACCACAACCTTCATTTTGAAAAGGCAGACATTACAGAAGCCCATATCTGCCACTAGAAAAAAAATTTCCCCTCATAATTGTTACATATTTTATCATGATGAGTCAGTAATGTATAAATATGAACGTTACCATCTCAAAATTATTCATTTTCCACTTCTTTTCTTTTTTGTATATATTTACATTCAGTAAGTCTTTCAAATTATGAGATGCATTAAAACTTTATTACATATCTCATGACTAACTAAATTTGTGATAACTTGTAATTATGATTTGGCCTCTTTAATTGTGGAAAATCTTCTCATAATTATGTGATTGTATCCCATAAATTATTACTCTCATTTTTTTTATTGTTTTCTTCATATTACCTCTTATGAATATAAAATATTTCATAATATATGGGGTAAGTCTTAACGTCTCACAATTAAAGGTACTATCACATAACTATATGTCATAATAAAGAGAAACTTCACTCTCTTGTCAGGGAGTATTTGAAATTATGAGAAATCTATACTTACAATTTATGATGTATCTGATAAATATGACGTAATATCATTGAAGGTCATTATTATGAAATAGTATCTCATACTACAAAATTCCTGGAGAAATTTTAAATGTGCCTGCTGCTTGGTGCATGTACATCACTCCTCATGTTTTAATCTGTACAAAGGACTTTATTTTCAATTTCATTCATGTCTTAGAGACTTTTTCTGACACTGACCTCAGTCACTGCAGGTGTCCCTCAAAAAGCCATTTGAAGCTGTCACAACTGGCCGAAATAACCTCACTAGGATGGTTTCATACCCAAATGTGTCCCCACAACCATAGTAAGACATGTTTACATACAGAAGTTGATCTGCAATTCAGATTCAGCTATATCACTTTTAATGTCCACTTGTAAGGTTCACCAGGGCAGGCTAGGTAGGGTGAGGCAGTGCAATGAACTGGAAAACACAGGCAAAGTATCAGGGTCAAAACAAGGGGAATTTTTATTTTCCAACAGGCAGGTTAACAGAAATGTAACTCAGGTACGTTCTTCCACTCAAAATCAAAGCCTGTGACTCAACTTAAAAGGTCCTAACAGAGAGAAAGGAGATTTTATCCTGAACAGAATTTCCAATAAAAGAAAGTGTCCACTTTCCTTTAAAAAGGTGGGTCCTTTCACAATCCTTTCTGGAGTGGCTTCAATCCCACTCCTTCCAGCCCTGTGCTCTCTGTCCTCCCTGCCTTCTTTCTTCTGCTCCACATGTTTTTCAGTCCTGCAGCAATCAGGTGGCTTAAGTACCTGCACCTGTCTGAGCGGTGAGGCACTCTGGCAGTTGGAGTGTGTGCCACGGCAGCCATTTTTAGGATGGAGCAGCTGCTTTCTGGGAGAGGTAGTAGTTGCCCCGGCGGCCATTTTGTGATGTGGCAGCTGCTCCTGTATGGGAATGTAGCGTCCCTCTACTACCTGTCCCCTTGTGATGCCACATTTCCCCCTCCACAGGCCTGCTGCCCTTGGCAGGGTGAACGAGGACCAAAGGGCATTATGGCAGGACAGGGCATCTGTGTTTCCATGGCACTGTCCTGGCCTGTGAATGACAGAGAAGTTATAAGGCTGGAGGCTTAGGAACCACGTAGTTACCCTGCTATTTGTCTCTATGTTTTTAGCCATCCATTGTAATGGAGAATTATCCGTCACTCACATGAACCTCCTTCCAAGCAGGTAGTATTTTTTGTGTTTCCAGGGCCCATTTTATAGCTAAGTACTCCTTCTCATCAGTGGCATAGCTCTTCTCTCTTGGCAGCAGTTTCCGACTCAAATAAAGAACTTAATGTTCCTCCCCTCCATTGCACTGGGACAGTACTGCACCTAGACCCACCTCTGTGGCATCCGTGTGGACTACACACTCCTTTCTGAAGTCGGGGGCTGTGAGGACTGATTTGAAACACAGCACCCTTTTCAGGTTGCAAAAGGATTCTTGTGCCTCAGGGGTACATTTCACCTTCTGAAAGGGTTTCTTGGTCGTCAGCTCTGTGAGAGGGGCAGCTAACATGGAAAAATCAGAGATGAACTATTGGTAATAATTTACAAGACCCAAAAAGGATCTCACCTGCTTCTTGGTCGATGGTTTTGGCCAGTCCTGAATGGAATGGAGTTTCGCCTCCTGGGGTTTGACGAGACTTCATCCAATGCTGTATCCCAAATAGTTTTCACTGAAGGCTTTACATTTCTTGGGATTAGCTGTCAAGCCTGCTTGCAGAGGGACTCCAGAAACTTCTGCACCCGAGGTAAGTGGCTCTCCCAGTCTGGGATCTGGATGACAACATCATCCAAATAGGCAGAGGCATAATCTTTATGAGGTTTAAGTATCTCATCCATCAAGTGCTGGAAGGTGGCGGGAGCTCCAGACAGCCCAAAGGACATCACTCGGTACTGCCACAGGCCCCGGGAGTGGCAAAGGCTGTCTTCTCCTTTGCTGCTGCAGACAAGGGAACCTGCCAATACCACTGTGTGAGATCAAGGGTGGTTATGAAACTGGCATTGCAAAGTTTTTCAATTAGCTCATTGACCCTAGGCATGGGATATGTGTAGTGTGAATACGACAATTTAAAATTTGCTCTCGTTAAAGAACGGGGCACCAGTCATCAGGGAGGACAATTTGATTAAAACTCTCGTCTCGTCGTCTCCCGCTTATCCGGATCCGGGTCGCGGGGGCAGCAGCCTCAGCAGAGAGGTCCAGACAGCCCTCTCCCCAGCCACTTCCACCAGTTCCTCCGGGAGAATCCCGAGGCGTTCCAAGGCCAGCCGAGAGATATAATCCCTCCAGCGTGTCCTTGGTCGACCTCGAGGTCTCCTCCCGGTGGGACATGCCCAAAACACCTCCCCAGGGAGGCGTCCAGGAGGCATCCTCACTAGATGCCCGAACCACCTCAACTGGCTCCTCTCGACATGGAGGAGCAGCGGCTCTACTCCGAGTCCCTCCCGGATGACTGAGCTCTTCACCCTATCTCTAAGGCTGAGCCCGGCCACCCTGCGGAGGAAACTCATTTCGGCCGCTTGTACTCGCGCTCTCGTTCTTTCGGTCATTACCCAAAGCTCATGACCATAGGTGAGGATCGGAACGTAGATCGACCGGAAAATTGAGAGCTTCGCCTTCCGGCTTAGCTCCCTCTTCCCCACAACGGACCGATTCAGTTCCCGCATCACTGCTGACGCCGCCCCAATCCGCCTGTCGATCTCCCGCTCCATCCTACCCTCACTCGTGAACAAGATCCCGAGATACTTAAACTCCTCCACCTGAGGCAAAGCCTCCCCCCCCGACCTGAAGCGGGCAATCCACCCGTTTCCGGCTGAGAACCATGGCCTCAGACTTGGAGGTGCTGATTTTCATCCCAGCCGTTTCACACTCGGCCGCGAACCGCCCAAGCAAGAGCTTGGGCGGTTCGCGGTTCTCCTTGTACCGTCACCTTACCTTGGTGGAGGAGTTTGAGAGCCCTAATGGCCCTAGGAGCTATGTTGTCGGGGGCATTTTGCCCCTGGTAGGGTTTCCCAAGGCAGATTGGTCCTAGGTGAAGGGCCAGACGAAGAACGGTTCAGAAGATCCCAATGATGAATACTATCCAGAACCCGAGTACCCGGCCCGGAGGGACACCGGGGCCCCGCCCCGGAGCCAGGCCTGGGGTTGGGGCCCGTGGACGAGCGCCTGGTGGCCGGGCCTTAGCCCATGGGGCCCGGCCGGGCCCAGCCCGAACCGGCTACATGGGTTCGTCTCCCAGTGGGCTCACCACCTGCAGGAAGAATCAGAGGGATCCGGTGCATTGTGGATTGGGCAGCAGACCAAGGCGGGGGCCTTGGCAGTCCGATCCTCGGTTACGGAAACTGGTTTGATTAAAAGTATGGATTAATTTTTGATCAGTCTCACACCCAAAGTTGTGATTTCCCGATTACAGTGATCTCCGATCTTCACTTCAAAGAAACACAGGGCAACGACTGGGTCACGTTGATAATATTTATTGACTAACTAAACACAGAAGGAGTACAATGAAAAATGATAATGAACATGAATCTATGACTAACAATCCATATTTC